GCATGCAATGGTTACAGGATAAGGTTTGTGCACCAAACATCCGTCCTTGTGTGAATCTTCTATTAATGTACATGTATCATACTTTATATATCTATACCCTTAAGTAGATTTTCTGTAATTCTCTTAATGTCTTGGCATATGGTTATAACCTGCTCTAAACCCATGCATTGCACGGGAATTTAGCATTTTTTTTTTAGAACCAAACAAGTTTGAAAAAACAAACTAATTTTTCCAGAAAAAGAAAAGGCAAATCAACAGCCACATTGTTTAATAGTAAACGAACTGTAAAGTAACTACTCACTCATTCTACTCTATGCTGTGCTAAAATGGCAAAGTAAATATTTTGATTCCAGAGAAGTTTTGTTATGTTGATAGTGTATCCGCTAGAAGAAATTGTTGTGAACATACACGGAAAACTTCATTTTTCTGAAGACCATATTGTTAAAAACTTTACTGTGTTTATGCAGGTACATTCAATTCGTGATGCAGCTGCTAACAACTTGAAGCGGCTTGCTGAAGAATTTGGTCCTGAGTGGGCTATACAGCATATAATCCCACAGGTTCATTCATCTTCTCTCCATCATCTAAAAATCCCACTTTGCTAGCTCCTCTGTAACATTATCATATAATCCTGTTGCACTTTTTTAGTGTTGAGATACTTTAGGTTGAAATATCTAGCCTTGGCATTTGTTACTTGTTTATTACTTGGTTTTGAAATTTCAGCATGGACATTTGTTTATTTACAGGTTTTGGAGATGATCAACAATCCACACTACTTGTATCGGATGACCATTCTTCGAGCTGTTTCTCTGCTTGCTCCTGTAATGGGTGCTGAAATCACTTGTTCGAAATTGTTGCCTGTCGTTATTTCTGCGTCAAAAGACAAGTATTTCAACATTGATCTTTCTTAAGCTATAGTACAACATCCAATGTAGCTGCTAAAAGTTTAAGTTTCTAAGTGCTTCTTGATTGCTCCTTGCAGGGTACCCAACATAAAGTTTAATGTCGCAAAGGTGTTAGAATCAATCTTCCCCATCGTTGATCAGTCTGTAAGCATCTCGAATCTTATCCCATTTCACATTTTCTGATTGCTGGAAGTAAAGTTCAGTGCTTCTTGTGTCCCCCATTTGTTGTTTCTGTTTAAGTCTCTTGCTTCGACTGATCTATGAATATCATGGCCGTTCAGGTGGTGGAAAATTCAATTCGTCCATGTCTGGTTGAGCTCAGTGAGGATCCGGATGTCGATGTTCGGTATTTTTCAAACCAAGCACTTCAGGCAATTGACCATGTCATGATGTCTAGCTAGGCAGGAATCTTTGACACGCATTGAGAATGAAGACTATTCTATTGAGGCTAATCTTTTCACATATTGTACTATTCGGTGCTTTTCCAGTTGAAGAGAAATGGCTTGCTGTGTTCAATGCTGCGTAGTAGTTCTAGTAACTTGATGTGATTAGTTTTCTCAGAAAGTATCTGATTTTCTCGTTGAATGTTGATTGTGTTTTGCATAGTTTTATTTATTTATTTATTTTTCTTGTGGCTCCAAAATTTTATCATATGTATATCTGGATAATGAATACACTCGTCTGCTCATGTGATAGGCAAGTGACTGGTCGATCCCAAGTCCCATAGAGTATCTCTGGCCGTGCAATGCTTCTAAATGTATTGTTTTAATTTATTGTCTTTTAAATTTACAATCCCCCTCCCACCGGCCCCCTCCAATTATCTCCAATGATTGCTTATATTGAAAGGAAGTTTCCATGAATAGAGGTAGTTTTCAATGTAGATTATTAAAAGGGTATTTTAGGAATATCAATTCACATTTTTTGACAAATAATTAAGTTAATTTTATTAATCACTATAAATTTGTTATTTAGTTCTTACATTTAGAATGAAAGAAAGTGCTTTAAGAACAAGTTATGTTTATGAATTCAATGAACACGTTAATGTAGTTGTATGGGATTCAGTATAACATGATTCAAAATTCATTGAATGAACATGTTAGGCTCATCAAATGACCAAGATTGTTCATATACGATGAATCTACAATTTTTTTTTTCTGGTAGAATGAATCTACAATTTAAATTATTCTGATTATCGTTCAATGATAAGCGATAGCCAAAATGCAAGAATTAGTAACCCTCAATCCTAGAGTAGATAAATTCTAGTAGGAAAGCAATATATTTTTTGTTATAGAAAATACATTTCCACACTGTATTAACTAAAGTGAATGTAATTTGTTATGATACAATACAACAACAAAAATAACAAGAAGTCTTATTTTACTAGGTGGGAAAATTTGTTACAGTACAATAATCAAATTAAATGAGCTACTTGGCAGCATTTGATTTGAAGAAGAAATATTTAAAACATGCGCCAACATTTTCTTTTTTTTTTTTTGGATAAAAAGGGGGGCCAAGCCCAACACAATTTTATTGACAAAACATGTGCCAACTTTTACATCGACATTAAAGCAAGAGTTTTCCCTTATTAATGTTGCAAGATTGGGATGCAATTACTTTTAAGAATCATTGCATGTCTTTATACACGTTTTTCTTCAGTTTTTAAACTTAATCCCAAGATAATGATTTTATCGTAATGACATCAAACATTGTATACTTCACAAGAAATCTAAAATGGATAGCATTGTTTTTATTTTGTGAATAATGCAATTATATATATATATATATATATTGTTTATATTATATGTTACTAGCCACAACTCATGAGAGCAGATTTAATACAATACCATTTACCTTAAAAAAAAAACAGAAATTATTTTATCAAATTGAAACGACACCTAACCAATTCAAATTTTCTTTAAAGAAAATAAAAAATTTTAAAAAAATATTGGACCTCCTGAAAAAGTTTAAATCCAACACGATAACAAATTAGCCTTTCCAGCAGTGTAAAAAATTTGGTCATTATCATATTCTCTGAGCCTGACCTTTTGTTTTATTAAGTAGTTTTGCGATTTCTTATATATATATACACACACGCACGCACACACATTTCCTAATATATCTCTACAGCGGGTAATTATGAGACTACTCTTTCGAGAAATCTGAGTGTTATTTAAAGAGTTGTTATCTTCTAAACAATATTCTCTATACAGAATTTGTATTTTGAAACTGATATGGAGCGGAATAGAAAATTTAAACTTCATTTATTTAGGACAGAAATAATTTATTTAGGTACAAATTTTCAATCATCTAAGCTCTTTTGTTTAAAAACAATTGTTAACATATTTAGACGGATTTTTTTTTAAAACAATAATCATTTTCCCAACACCAGAATAAAAGATTTTTTTTTTTTTGGAACAACTTGACTTCTTGTATAAACCAATAAGTATATTTAAAATGTTGAAAATAAATTTTTAAGAAAACATTTCAGATTTTAAAAGAAGGCAAAATTGCCACGCACAACATAGCAAAAACAACCTTTTGAGGTTGTCATAAAGACAAAACAACCTTTGAGGTAATGTAGAGGTTTCGGTGGCTGTTGTATGTATTTGCACTAAAATGGAATTTTTGGCCTTTGGGGCTGCACAAGCTTTGGAAACTCTTTTAAGTAAGCTTATTAAACAAACCCAAAATAATATTTTAAAATTGACTGAAATGAGGCTTTATTGGATTCTTCACCATGCTAAACCAAGCTGTTCGGTTCATGCTTCGGTTTCAAACATGAAAAGTATGAACTAAACCGAACCAAATCTTCTTAATTTTCATGTTATTTAATATTATTTAGGGATATTAATACTTATCCCTATTTTGATTGACCTAGTTTTGTACCCATCTTGTTGAGATGGGTTTGTCTTGACTTAAAAAAAAACAAGATAAGACTTTACAAAATGAGACAAAAATATATTCAAGATAGAATATAGAATATTTATCAAGATGACCCATCTCATCTCTAATAAATTATTAAAATTTTTTATTTTTTATTAATATTTAATACTTTAGTTATTTAGTTAGAGCCAAAGTATATTTTTTGTTTATTTATTTTATTTTCTTTTTACATAACTACTTACATCTGCTTACTTAAGTCATGTAACCTAGTAATTTTGTTATTAATATAGTACTTGTAGCATGAAGGTCTTTTGTGATTGTTGTGTACTTAGCTTTAAATTGTAATTGTTGTGATTGTTTTCTTTCATTTTAAATTATAGTTATTATAATTCAATTTGAATTTATTTGCCAGTGTTTTTTTTAGATTTAACAAGTTACATAATTTAATAAATTTAAATCTATCTTTCACATTTTATCTAATTTATTGAAATGTCTCGATTTTAAATAAGATGAGATGACTTTTTAAAAGAAAGATAAGACAAAAATTTAATCTTATTTTTTTTAAGACGAAAAACATGACAGAATTTGTCCTGACCTTATCTCGTGAATAGTTGAGATGTCATTCAAAATAAATTCAAATCCAATTTAAGCATTTTAAAACAAGCCTGCACTCTCTCACTCAATCAGCCCCAACACTTATAAGTGAATTTTTTTTTTAAAAAAAATACTGCTTAAATTATTTCATTGCTTCCTTCTCCTTCAACTACAAAAAGAGTTCATGATGCTAATTATGGTAAAAAAATTTATCATGACTCGTAATATATTGATATATTTTTTTCTCACCTGTTCTCAAGAGTTTTTTTTATTTAATAAGCTCTTGAGAGATTTTTTTAATTGATAGTGCCAACTAAAAACTATTAAAAATTTACCTAAAAAAATTATTCAAGTTTGTTCATCAATACTTGAACTAAAACCGAATCAAATCGATTAAGCGAAAAATTGAATGGACCTAGTGCTTAGTTGAAGGAGACTAATTTGCATTTTGAGAAGGCCAAGGAGCCAAATAACTTAACCTTTAATTTTGAATTTAAAAATTAATAATTAGTAATGTTTGAAACATAAATGCCTCTGTGTACTATATATACAAGTCACACACTGACACTACACACATTCACTGAATCCATCTTGCTTGTATCTATCAGATTTACAGATATGGCTTCCCAGGGACAATGGACTACTGGCTTATTTGATTACTGGGAGGAACCCTCACAGTGTAAATTCCAATCTCCATATTCTTTATATATATTTATTTTTTCAAAAATAGTTTAATTGGGCATGTGTCGCAGTAATTGAGTTGAGTTTGAATAATAAGTATTTGAATGGAACTAATTAATTATTAATTACTTGGGATTATGTTCATATATGCAGTTTTGCGCGCTGGGTGTTGTCCATGCTACGTTTTTGGTGATATTGCAGAGATGGTTGATGGAGGAACTACACGTAAGGCCTTCGAAGTTTTCTGAAATTCTAGGTTCATGTACTTTAATTGTGTTTTACTTTTAATTTTTATACTTTTATTTCGTTTTTTTAATTCCTTTTCAATATTAATTTTTATAATTTCAAAAAAGGAGAAAACTTATATACTTAATATTATATATTTAAGATGCTTATATCTAGTTAAATTATGACATGTGTATCTTTTATAGATTATTTATTTTATAATAAATTCTTATTATTGATTAAACTAATATATTAAGATCCACATGTCATGATTTTATTGGATATAAGTATATTAAGTATTTAAAACTAAGTATATAAGTCTTGCCTTTTTAAAAATACATATTAAAACTGTGAGTTGGTTAATTTTATTGGTTCATACTTAATCTCACATTCTATTTAAGTCAAATATAAAAGAGAAAACTTTTCCTTACCTTTTATTTTTAATCATATCTAATCAGCCATTTCAATGTCAACATATTTTTACCATATCAATGAAAGGGTTAGCAGAGTTTCAATGAAATTAACTCTGTCAATATAAACTCATAATTTTTATGTGCATTCTTAAAATTATAGTCATTAACATTGTAGGCTGGTTAAACGAAAGGATTGGCAACAATGAAATAAAACTATATATTTTTTACCAAAAGAAAAATAAAATAAAATTATGTAGACTAAAAATAAAACACATGGAATGTAAAAATGTGCTTAGCTGCATTGTTTGGTGCTTTTAATCCGGACCGCTTGCTACATATTTGATATTTGATAATAATATTAATTGATGATATTGAGGGTAATACACGTTCCTTCTCAAATTATAAAAAAATTTTGAGTGAAATTCAAAATTTCAAAATATAAAATATTTTAATAGAAATAAAATTTTATTAATGATGTTTTTCTAATATTATCTTTCTCATTACTCCTTTTTCTCATTTATTAATCACTTTTAACATGTTTTAATAGAACCAATAGAAGAGAAAATTTATAATAAAAATTTATTGACATAATTTATAAACACAATAAAAAAAATTTCTCTCTATTAATTTATAAACACAATAAAAAAAAATTTCTCTCTATCCTATAAATAGGATTAGAGAGTGTATATTCTTTCACTCTAATATTTTTTATAAATGAAGTATTAAGTAAAGGGTATTTTTAAAAGTTTATTTTTTTAAAAAATAAAATTATAAAATGTGTTTAACAATCTTTATTAATATATATAATTTAATTATATTTCTTATAATCTGAAACCGACTAAGTAAGAAATAAGAAATAATTTGATGATAATTTGGGCAGCAAGAGATGGGGCGTGCTGGGTGTATTGTTGTCTAAACGGTTCAATGGCGTGGCTGATGGGTTCGATGTACAGAACAAAACTCCGGCGACTGTTTTCGCTGCCGGAAGAGCCCTTTTCCGATCAATTTGTTCATTGCTGCTGTGCGCCTTGTGCTCTCACCCAAGAATACAAAGAGCTCAAACATCGTGCCATTGATCCTTCCCTCGGTATCAATAACTCTACCTTCTAAGCGTGTGTTATATGAAAAATTAATTATTTAATTATTATAGTTTTGACTTAATTAAAATTTTAACTATTGTAACTGAATTTTATAGTTTTGAGCTGATTCAACTCAATTTCTGAATTTTATCAATATAATTCAGTTTTTATAGTTTTAATCATTAAATTATCAGTTCTTATGTATGTTCTAAAAAATAAAATTATAATGATTAAAGTTATTTCCTGAAACTTATGGACAAATATTTAAATTACAAAATGTGTATATTAGGATTAAGTTACAATAGATTAAAGTTTAGAAATTGAGTTATATCAAGCTAAAGTTTAGAAATACCTAATTTATTAATTTTTTTTTCATATATGTTTGAAATCATATTATGTTAACCAATTTATGTATTTAAACTTTAAAATTAACTAAACAAATAAGTTAACAAAACTAAAAAACTAAAATATGAAAAAAATTAAAATATAAGCATTAATTTATTTTTAGCAACATCAATTATTTTTAAAGAGTTATTTTACAAGAGGATTATTTTATTCCAAGATATGTTATTTAACAATTCATTAATATTTGAGTGGATGGAAATATATAAACTATTAAAAATAAAGTGGAGGTTTTTGTGATTAAGATACACTTATTTTACTCTATTAAAAATAAAAAGAAGATTTTTATGATTAGCATAAACTAGATGTGAGGTTTGCGTAATTTACTCTATTACTTACCACCTTTAGGCTTGGCTTGAGTGGAGAAAAAAACTCGGAATAAAATAAGAAAGGAGAAAACTATGACAAAAATTTTTAAAAATAGTAAATATTTTTTTTAAAAAAAGAGCAAATTGACTCTTAAATTATAAATTTATGAAAAATTCTGAATTTATTTTTTGTGTATAATTTTCTTTCAACTATTGAAAACAATATAATATAACCCTTACTATTAATAAAAATTAATTTTAATTATTAATTGATTAAAAAATGATAAAAAAATCAAAAATTAAAAAAATAATCAAGAAAATTTCCTGTTCCTTTACTGTACTTTTTCGAATCATTGTCAGTAAGTTTTACATCATTTATTGTAATTTTTTAGATTTTTTTTATTTTTTTATTAACTAACAATTGAAGTTAATTTTAATTAACAGTTTAAAAGTTAAAAGAAAATATTATATAAAAAATAAGTTTATGATTCCAAACGCTTTTAGATTTATAATTTAAATGTTAATTTACTCTTTCATTCTTTTTTTCTCCTACTTTTATGATTTTTCCCTCCTAATTTCCTTCTTATTTTTTCCCAAACAAAAGTTCAATATCGTAAGTTATCAATAGCCTATCTCATGCATATTAAAAAAAATTGTTAAAATTGATTTTTTAATAAATATTTTTTAAATTACAAATTCTCTCCATATTTACCCCTAATAAATGATTAAATTAATGATGATGCATAGTTGTTCTTCAGCACGTACAATGAAGAATATTTTGAAAGGGAAAAAAAATAGTCATTTAATGATTTACAAATTCTAAAAAATAGAAGTATATTTTGCATCATGCATGGCAACCCTCTCCACAAGAAGATCACTTCATATATATTTGAGAAACCATCTCTAACTTCCATCATGAGTTATCTATTTTATTATTATTATTTTTCATTCCTAATTGTTTGTATTTTAATTTCATTGAAGGTTGGCAAGGGAATGTAGAGAAGTGGGAGAGTGAAGGTGTGAAACCACCAATTGTTCCCACCATGAGTCGTTACAAATATTAGAATGGCCTCAAATCATAAGCTTCTTAAAAGTCTGTTGCGTGTTTTGATTAATCCGATGTTACTTAGCACAAATAATAATGAGATTGTGGGGTCGATTTCTGCTTTGATGCGTATATGAATAAATGACATGAATATACTTATTTGTGTTTTTAAGTGCTTCAATTTGGTGAGTCACAAGTTTCGTGTGTTCTTGTTTATCCGTTCGATCCAAGAAAGGGAGTGAACTATTGTTGTATGAGATATAGTGCTTTCTTTCATATTTGAGTTGTTATCAATAGAAAAAAACTTTTATACTTAATCTTATGTACTTAAGATATTTATTTTCAATTAAATCAATACATGTCTATCCGTTATAGATTATTTATTTTAGAAAAAAATTAATTATTTTGTGCTTAGAGTTTTAATTTAGTTGTAACTCAGTTTATAAATTTTAACTTATTATAACTTAGTTTCTGAAATTTTAACTTGACTGTAAATCAGTCTTTAAATTTTGTCTTTTACAATTTAGTTCCTAAAATTTTAACATCTTAAATATTAGTCTCTATATTTTAAAAAATAAAATTATAAAGATTAAAAATATTTTAAAACTTATTACTAATATTTTAAATTATTAAACCCTATTAATCTTTATAAATATTATAAATATTAAAATTTTAAAATGGTTTTAATTTTTATAATTTATTTTTTAAAATATAAGGACTAATGTTTAAAAAGTTAAAACTTCAGAGATTAAATTGCAAGAGGCAAAGTTCAGGAATTAATTTACAATCGAGTTAAAACTTCAAGAACTAAGTTATAACGAGTTAAAGTTGAAAAATTGAGTTACAACTAGATCAAAATGATGAAGATTAAATGATTAATTTTTTATTTTATAATAAATTTTTGTTATTAATATTATTAATATATTAAAATTTCATATGTCTTAATTTAATTGGATGGATGTATATTAAGAATATAAGGGCAAGTATATAAGTCTTGCCCTTATTAATATATTTATAGCATAATGTAATTAAATAAAGGATAAATGAATAAATTAACACTTGAATTTTAGATCAAGTAACACTATAAACTTTGAACTTATTTATTGTATAAATTGTTCTCTCATTTTTTAAAAATAGTACAATTTGACTCTTACCATTAACATAAATTAATTTTAACAGTTAGTTGACGATCAAATAATAAAAAATGACATCAAAAATTATAAAAAAGAACAAAAAAATTATAATAAAAAACTCAAAAATTACATACAATAATTCAAAAATTACATAAAAGGACCAAAAATATTTTTGGTTCTTTTTTTAAAATTTTTGATGTCCTTTTTCTATCATTTCTAGATCAATTAAAAATTAAAATTAAATATTATTAATGACAAGATTTACATTGCACCGTTTTTAAAAGTTGAGAGAATAATTTATATAATAAATAAATTTAGAATCTATAATGCTACTTGACTTTAAATTCAAGAATAATTTACTCATTCAACATAAAATAAATATAATATATTTTTAATTGCACAACAAAATATTATAATGGCATCACAAATGTAATTAGCAGAGTTCAGCATTGAGAATTATAACAGTAAGTTTAGGTCTAACTTTTAATTGAACCCAGATTGATTCACCATATGACTCTCCAAGATTTAAATTTTTTCTTTGCATACGTTCATTTTATATTTCTTTCGGCTCTTTAAAACATTTATACAAATTTTATACTGTATGCGATTTTAAATTTCAGCTTGGCCATCTATTTACAAAACTTAATTGCCAGACCTTGTTTAAAAATAAAAAATCATGTCAAACAACCTAAACCAACTATTACTAGATACTACTATTTATTCTCTCCGATCAAAATTGTAAAACAAATAATTATTTTCTTACTTCCATAAAAATATAGCGTCATGTTTTTTTCCCCCCTTTTGTCCTTAACTCCTTTGTTTTGAAGAGCAAGCAGTGACCATGGGCCTTAACCTTCCTAGTTGATTGGGCCTTGTCAAGCCCATGACAAAATGTCCAATCAACGAGCGTCGTTCTCTTTTTGCCCTAAACATTTTTTTATTATGAAGAGTTAAAAAAAATGTTTACTCAGATTATGTTTACATGCCCGCATTAACTAATTCAAGAATAAAATTGAAAAAATAATTTCAAAAAGTACTAAATTTCTTACATTTGGACTAAGCTTAGGTGGTAATTTTTTTTTTTTTTTGACAATTTGCACCATAGGGAGTAACTGGTAAGGGGCCAATGTTAATTTTTCATTTTCATTCTTTTTATTTTGGTAGAGGAGTGAATGGGGACTGTAGTTGTCACTTTCCACAAGAAAGAAGAGGGAATGATGACCATCGGCCTGGACCTTCCTAGTTGATTGGGCCTTGTTAAGCCCATGACAAAATGTCCAGCCAATCAACAATAGCCAGCTGCCAAAAGAAACAACGTTGTATGGACGAAAGGAATCTTGAATGGATTTTAACTTGAATTTAAAAATAGAGGATGAATAGGCTGTCGTTGTCTGTAATGGAATCCAAAGCCTTGAGAGAATAACTCAAGAGAGGGAATCTTCAGCAGAATCTTCAGCCAACGGTGAATGGCCTAGGAATCTAACCCCAAACATATTTCCTCCTTCAGGTCCCCACTTCTTCACTATAACATATTGTTGCTTCCATTACAAACAATCATTCAAATTTCTCTTACTCCTTAATTCTCCACCTAACCCTAATAACTTTCTCCATTACAGCATATTTTAATTTTTATAAATATATTTTTGGTACTCCCTCCGTTTAAAAATATAATATATTTTTAACTGAATCTCACTTTCTTATAAAGTAATTACTTACTTTTCAACTAAATCTATATTTTTATATTTATTCTCATTAAACACTCAACAATAAATATAAAGTCATTATTAATAGGGATACTTTTGGAAAAAAAAGTAATAATTACACTTCAAAAGATTAAAAATGCCTTACATTTTTTAACATCTAACTCCTCAAAAAATACCTTATATTTTTTAATGGAGGGAGTATATGATATAATTATGTCAATAATAATGTATAAAAATATGTGTCTATCTTTGAACACAAAATTAACTTGCACATTTGTTGACCTAGAAAATAAAATATTAAGTTTTATATTTCACACGTAAAATTCAAAGCTCAATGGGCAAACAATAAAACCACCAAAGATATTTTTTAAAAATATATATATACATATACATACATATATATATATATATATATATATTTAGCCGTAGTTGTGTAACTCGGTTAGATTGAACACTCATAATATAACTATCGTGTGTAATAGTGAATAAAAAATGACTGCCACAGCGATATGGATTGTGATGAGCACTAATATGAAGGGTCCAGATTTGATATAATTTTATTTTTATATTTTTTTAGTAAATTACATGTTACAAATTTTAAATCTGAATTGTTAAAATTAGTTTTGAATGGCTTAGATCTCACTACGGTATTATTTTAAAAGATGCCAGAATCATGTAGATATACATGTGGACGTGGTGATGTTCATGTATTGTATTGATTAGCGTGAAAGATTAAGCAAATCCAAATAATAGAATAAGTTGACCTTTTTATTAATGTTTATTAAATACGCCGTAATTAGTGGTGATCCTCTACCATTAGTTTAGATGCTTTGGCTTGATGTTTGTTCATCCCTTTTCTTAACCCACAATCAAGCCAACCAAACACTGCAGCATTAAAATTCATGATTTTGGATATATTTTATGGCGACCCAATACATAAGAAATTAAGAATACTTGACGATTTTGATGTTTGATTATTAATAATTAACAATTATCCATATTTATGTCACTCAAAGGTTACTTCCAAAGCCTTTCTAATCCACTCGATTTGGTAACTTAATCCTCTGATATAATTATATTTTATAGATTCAATGATTACTTCCCAAAATATAAAAACAGTAATAATAAAGATCCAAAACGAGTGGCATCTTGTAACGTGCGAAATTGGCCACATTCTTCCAACTTCGACGCTATTTGAAGGGCAGATTTCACAGAGTCGTGTTGCTTGGACCTAAAACATTGACCACAAACAGAGCACTCTGTACTTGATGATTCTTCTATATAATCCTGTCAGATCCTCTTCCTCTCATCACTCCTCTATTCAAAAATTCATCCTTCTTCTCCATCGGATTTCTGGGTTTATTTGAATCTAGAGCATGGAGATGAACTCAGATCCGGCGTTGTTGTTTGAAGCAGAGAACGAGGATGATGTCTTTTATGCTGAGATCAGGAGACGGATTCTGCAACTAACAACTGAAGACGACGAGGAACACAGCGAGGGATTCCTCGGAGAATCCAAACGGGTCAACCGTATTGTCTCTGGTGGTGTAGATTCGTACGGGTCGGGTTATGGCTTACCGGGTGGAAGCCATCTTTGGTCCTGGGAAGCTCAGAACTCTGGTGCATCACCTCCCGTTTGGTTGATGAACTTGTGGAAGAATGGTAAAGGAACTGGGGTGTTCATTCCTCAAGTTATCAGATGCAAGAAAAATCAGGGACCAGGTACAGATTCTATTTGTTTCAATGAAAAATTCATGATAAAGTTTCATGTTCTGTGTTTGTAAATGACGAGCATTCGATTTGATCAATCTTCACTAAAAACAACTTAAAATCCATGGCTTATTTTGATCTGCTAAAAAGAAAGTTCTGATTTTATGAAAAGGATCATTTTTAACTATCAAATCTACTTTGAAGTTCTATTTTTGCTGGTGAAAATTCAGATGAAAATCTCAATAAATCAAATCTACTCAGATCTATTCAGATTCAATGGCTTCGCCGATAAAATTCACATGTACCTTACAAATTCTTGCAGGCAGAATGAACAAAAGAAAAACATATAAACCAGTGGCGACCAAGGATTGATGAACCAACAATTTGAAAGACGAAGTTTAGCAGAAAACTGCAGATTTGATGATCCATACAGATTGGTGAAAAACTTGTCGGCAAATTAGCTGTACAATATTAATTATTTCTTTCAAATGAAAACGCGTTCAGCTTGCTAGCCGTTTATGTACAGATCAGAATCAGACCGTAAGATAAAATTCGAAGGAATAGGAGTAGGATTGAGATTGGATTCCAGAACATCACTACATCATCAGAATAAGGCAGAAATTTGCACTGAAGCATATATCTATTAATAAAGCCAAGTGCTTTTGTGCAACACTGTTTCATAGTTAGTGAAAAGTGACAACGATTCGCATACACATATTTAAGGATTCTTCACGTTTACAAGTTACTCTTTCACAATCACCTCTTGGAAGGTTAAAATATACACAGAATATTTCTCAGCACTTGTACAGGCAAAGATGATGAAACACGCCATTTACTTAAAACTTCTACAGAAAAATTACAGATCATCAGCATAGCAGCTACCAAAACCTAGTGGTTCTTCATGTAACTAATTTTGAGTAATCAATCATACATCGCTCCCTACTCTCTAGGGCGAGCTAACCATAACGAACTAAGTGCTCGCAGTCGCGAAATGTAGTCATTTACGATAACGAATGAGCGTGCTACTTGTCGCGTTGTCAGGATTTTTTGCAGCTGTTGCAGTGTTTGTTGCCTCAAGAGATCAGCCTAAAACAACAAAAAGCATCCTCTCAATGCTTGAAAATGAGCAACAAATTGAAAATAGAAAGGATAGAAGGTAAATGATTTACAATTGTACTTTCACTTGTATCATGCACATTATAGATAAAGGCTAGAGAAATGACCAAGAAAAGAAACAATGAAACTAGCATATCACATCTCCTACCTGATGGAGGAAACTCTCCAATGTGGCAAGCTTGCTCATAGCAAGTGCCATTTGACTCATGTATTCGGCGACGTTTCCAGTACCGGTTGGTCCGAGGAAGGTTGAGGAAAGTGTATCTGAAAGAGATTGATGCAATGCTTCCATGCCTTGTGATAAAGCATCCTCAGCCTGCAACGAAGACTGCTGCAAATTATACAAGCCCATCAATTGCTGCTCTGTTAATGGCTCAAGCTGGTTCCTCAGTATCTGGAATCAACAAAGTACAACTCACAAAACAATCAATATAACATACTTCTACATTATAGAGATACTGGTTAAGCAAAACTTGAGAACTAGACCATTCACCTTCAAAAGTTCAGACGATCGAAACCCACCTAACCACATAAAACATCTTTCTGCAGGCGTCTTCCACATACCATAGAGAATGTGAAATACATCAGCCTTTGCCCCTATGCTTTTTAACCTAAATAACTCGTCATAATGAGCTGTAACACCCTCAACAACAATATGCAGTTCATTATCTCCCATTTGAGAATTAACCGCCGTTCTTAGGTCATTGATCAGTTGTTGATGCTCATCGGTCCAACGCGCATAGTCCATGTCAAATGCCAAGGCACCTGTAGGTCCAGCAAACATTTCTTTTCAGCATACCCACATGGTATTGCCCAACAAACCTTCTGTTTAATGTCTTCTAGGTCCTCCTTACTGCCCTATTACCGTTCATAAACAATTGCTATTTATGTGTATAATGCAGTTTAGAAACACATCCTATCATTATAAACATTTTATGCATCAACGTTCCCTAATAAGGATGTTCTCATCTATTTGGTGGCTACTTTGCCTGAAAATTTAAGAATTGCAGCAGGTAACATGTTTAGAAGTAATCACAGCTTAGTGTAAAATACCATTTCCAACCACTGAATGACCATGATCCCCAGGAAATCCACCTGCAACAAGCATTCCCTGCGTTCATGGGTCCATGAACTGTAAGCAAAGTGCTATTAAAATTACTTTTACTCAAAAACATCAAGTGGAAATCTTTCGCTTTGGACACCTGCTGTCGCGCGCGTTGAAGCTCTTGCTCCAGTTGTGCTAGTCTGAGACGACTGTTCTCCAACTGCTGTACATATGCCTATCCAAAACCAAAACCTATAAATCATCCAAATATGTTCCACTTATTATCCTAACACTTGACAGACCCTATGGCATAAAGATTAGTTCACAAATCAAGGAAAGGGCTGACTACTAACACAGCGGGATATGTCTAACCTCATCAAAAGCAAGCTAATGATAATAGGGCGACAAAACAGATGAGAACTTTACAGAAACATAATGAAACAGTACACCAGAATCTGTCCTAGGCATGCAAAACGTAACATATATATCATGTGGAAACATACAGAGGACTAAGATTGCAAGTAACGTGCCAATTGTCGTGAAGAAGAAGAAAAAGATTATGATCAGCCCTTTTCTACATATCTTGAGCAATAAAAGTCCTACAAGTATGTACCTTTTTCCTCAACCGACTCTTCCTCGCAGCCTCTCGATTCTGAGCGAGCCTACGAAGAGTCTGAAGAAGAACACATCCAGTTTATTAACATATCAACAATAACAGCAAACGAATTGACCACTAAGCTGTGCACACGAGGGGGATGAAATGTTAAAAAAAACACACAAAACAAAACAAACAAACAAACCAACCTTCGGATCCTCCGGTTTGGCCTTAGATTGATCTATGGAATCCGCAACCACGGCTCTCCCAGGCTGACTTCTATTACACTGTGGCATCGTTAAAGAGACAACAATAAATCAGCATCCAACATAATATGCTTATTGTTTCACCGTAATCGTAAATTGCATCCGACGCTGAAAATTTGATTGTCAGAAAAAGCCTTATCCCAAAAAGAGTGGAACTTGAAAAAACAGAGCATGATGGGAAAACAGAGACCCACTAGGTTTTTATCATCGGGGTCGATATCTGTGGAAGTATCAGTGTGTTGACTATTATCCACCATGCCGGAATCACCCCAATTCTCCATATGTCCGTTCCCGACCGGCACGGCGGCCGGCGCAGCCGCGATTCCCTTCTGATACATGAGATGCTGCCCTGTATCCAGGCACCCAGCTCCTGTTGAAGCAATTTCTGAAGACCCGATGTTCTGTAAACACGAAGGAACCCAAACCCAAACCAAAACTTTGATCAGCAAAGGTTGCAAAAATAAATAAACAAACTTTTCCTACCAACAAAAGAGAGGGAAAGAATACCGAGCTCAATGTCCCGTACTGCAAGTTAATAGGAACAACAGCGACATTGCTGGACTTTACAGTAAACATAGAGCCTGCGACGAATTTTAAATTAATAGTTGTTGCAAAAAACAAAACAAAAAAACGAATATGTATATACAAAGAGTACAGGTATAAAAAGAGACTTGAGCTTAAATCAACAGCATCCTCATGCTGAAAAGGAGAAACGGAATGATGAAGCTCTCCAAGATCGGAGAAACGCGCAGGATTTCGGCCGGCATCATCACCCCTGTTTGAAGCCAAAGAAACAGAGAAAAACTCAGCTTCACAACAGACCACCAAAAGGCAAGACTATAGTATAAACAATAGAGAGAGAGAGAGAGAGAGAGAGAGAGAGAGAGAATACCGAAGAAAGAAGGAAGGGTGGCAATAGAGTTGCTGTGGGGTGGACTGAGCAGTCTTGAAGCTTTGCATTATTGAGAGTTCGAAGTTGTTTCTGTAATGAGCCGTCTCTCTCAGTGGACGAAAGTGAGCATGAATGAAAGAGAAAGAAGAAAGGATGTTGTATTGTGAAGTGTGTTCGAAGAGGGGAAGCAGAAGGGAGGTTGGGAAGTGAAGAAGAGAAGATCTTGACGTATCTTAAAGGAGGGGATAGCGTACCAGTACGGGTGCTTTTGGAGGGTATAATAAATAATAATAATAAAAAAGAAAAGAAAATAGGGAGAATCAGGCTTTTTGATTATTGCTTTCTGACTTGGGATTTTAGTTTCCCAACACAGGTCCTCACATCACACACACACACACACAGTTCAAAAACCATCGCATTCTCAATCTTCGCCTTTCTCGCCTGGTCCTGCCACGCCACGTCCCCTCATTTTCTTTAAGGTTTTAATTACTTGGTCCTTTGCTCCTAATTAGGTGTCGGATCATCATAGGTCAATGGGGTCACGCATGCAAATTAAGAATCTCAGCATATTTAGATTTGGCGAGTCACCTCAATTCACTTCCTTTAAAAATTATCAAATCATATCTCCGTTTTAAATTGTAAAATGATATTTTATAATTTTTTAAAATAAAAATATTAATGTTTTAAAATATTTTTTATTTAATATAATTTTAAATCTACACATTTAATTATTATAATTATTTTAATTATCTTTTCACTTAAAAAAATATTAAATTATTAATAAAATTTTATTTTTATTAAATTATTTTTTTAATATGAACAGGCAGCCTTCGTCAAATGCAAAATCAAGAAAAAAAAAACCAGCACAAAGAACAAAATCAAAAACTTACTAACCATCCCTAATAGGTTAATGGTGGGTGTATCAAGCATATTAAAATCATTGGATAAACTATGTTACCTAATAGGTTAATGGTGGGTGTATCAAGCATATTAAAATCATTGGATAAACTATGTTAATTTACCATGATAGTTAGCGATCCTATTTTTTTTTCTTTATACAAAAAGTTAAAATTTACCATCCAATTCTTACACAAAATCAATCTCATAGAATTAATGATATTTTAAAAAGGATGATAAATATGATTGTTCCTTATAAATAATGTTATTAAAACCAGATCGAATAATGAATTAGTTAAGACACTAGTTCACAATTCAAATGTTAAATTGAGGTTAAATCATTTGTAATTAAATTAATATATTTTAAATATTATATATTAAAAATAATAGAAAATATGATAAATTAAAGAAAAATAACTACTAATAAAGTGATAATCTCATCATACTTCAAAATTCAAAGGCATACAAATTCAAGCATATATTAATACTAGGAAAGTAGGTAATATCCTCATTCAAACTTCAAAACACCACAATCTAACATTCTCATACAATTGAATGGTCCAAATTCAACTAAAAACTACAACATTTAATTGCCATATAGATCTTTTAAATTAAATTCTCCAAAATTATGTTAAAAATTAAAAACATCTCCTTCAACTCTTATAGCATTTGGTGAATCTAAAATAGGAGACTATGGAACATTCATATCTTCAACAGTACCTATACATATATTTGGAAAAAAAATAGTTAGCATTAACATATAAATAATGAATGAATAAACTATAAATCAAACAAAGTTTTAATATAAAAAGAAGAAGAGCAACCTTCATTTTCCCTTAATTCAGAACCAGATCCAGAGGGACATGTATTGCCACTAAGAAAATCTTCATTTTGAATTTCTTCAACAGTAAAGGCAAGATTGGGAATTGAAACTTCTTCAGCTATCCAATACTCAAGTTTATTAATTGATTTATAATCAACAGGATTAGAGCTCACCTTTTTCAATTTTGACCTTATATAAAAAAAATTCACAATCAAATCCCTCATCATTCAATTATTGAAGCCAAAGAGAATTATTTCATATTTGAGCAATGACTAATGATTACCTATTAGCAAACACAAGTTGTAATTAACAAACACAAGATCATTCAATCTTTCATGTGAGCCTATTTCTTTTTTTTTTTGTATGAATTCTTTCAAATAAACTCCAATTTCTTTCACATCCTGAAGACAAAGAAGTTTGTCTGAGAATGCGAATTGCAAACTTTTATAATATTAGAGCACTACCCCTAACACCAAACATCTACATCAACTTCAAATAAATTAATAGTAGTTAATATTTAAAATTATAATAAAAGGAAAAAAAGAGTAAGAAGCTAACCAAGTTGTATTTCATTTTCTACTTTATGAACTTTTTCTCGACCAAAAGAGCCTTGACGTTTATGGTACATCAGTATCTCAGAAATCATATCAGAATATTTATAGGTAGACTTGTATATTGAAAAATAGTTCAGCATTGATTCTGTCACTCTACTCTTCTCAATAAATTCTTGATCATACAAGAATGTAAGATTTAAAAAGTAGGCTACTACATGCAAATCACACTTCAAATGCTTATCCCACCGAGCTTGAATTATGCTTATGAAAGGCTTGTATTGTTCCTTCTTTGTACGAAAGAAATTTTTGATTGAATTCTTTACTCTCTACATACCCTTATACACATAACCCAAAGATGGTTTTTTATCAGCGTCTATAATTTTTAGTAGCTTGATAAGAGGACCCACAAGACATACAAGTTGATGGCAATCATCCCAAAACTTCTTGTCCAACACAATGTCACCAGCTAGTTGCCCAACTTTAGTCCTTGATATTTTATTATCATGAAAGTGTTTATCTAAGATCAAGGCTTGCAAGTCATGCTTGTGCTCATGCAAACTCTTCAATGTAATAAAAGTAGTAGCAAACCTGGTCGCTCCTGGGCACACAATTTCTATCCAACCATCTCTTCTCCTAAGCCATGAACGAAAAGCCACATGATTATACACAAAAATAATAATTTTTTATAGCTTTGTTGTAGGGTCAGCTACATGGGGCATGCTTGCAATGTCCTTCAAAATAAGATTCAAACAATGAGCAGCATAGAATGACTAATATATATGATTAATTTTTCATGAATCAACCTGCCAACAACTACATAATTGGCTACATTATCAGTCACAGCATGCACTATATTTTTAGGACCAACCCACTCAATAAGTTTACAAAACAAAGAAAATAATTTCTTGGCATCCTTGACTATATGTGAAGAATCAATAGATTTTACAAAAACCAAGCTAACAGGAGAATAAACTAAAAAATTTATTAATGTTCGTTGCCTTTCGTCAGTCTAGCCATTAGTAATGAGTGTGCAGCCACTTTCTTTCCAAGTGGCTTGATAGCTTTCAATAAGCAGTTGGTACTCTTTTCTATAATTAGTCAATAAGTTAACCCTTAACTCCTCAAATGAAAGACCTTTAAAACATAAGCCAATTGCAACAATTGCATCCAAAGCAAGCAACAAATATGGACAATTTACAGCATTAAATGGAATGCAATTCATATTTAACAATGGCTAATTTAGTTTTATATTGAGCTTCTTTAGATGTCCACATACTCTTTAGCTCTGGTCGGGAGCCAGGAGTTGACCTTGGGGCAAAATAATTGTTATTCCCACTAGTTTTTCCTTTTTTTTTCACAACAGTAACATTGCTAAAACCTAACTTCTATCTTGCTTACTTGGCTCTAGATTTTAGCAATTACTTCATATTTTGAGTTATCAACAAACTCTTCAGGCATGTTTGGATCATCAAGCTTCCTTTTATTCACCAATGATACTTCTTTCAAAGATTAAACCATCCTATGGCGAACATCACATGGAACTTTCTTGCAAGAAATTATATTTCCTAAAACCCTTGCAAGACACTACATCATCCTTTTGATCCCACCTCTTCTAAATGATGAGGAGCAATGAAGACAAGTATACACACATGTTCTCCCCTCTTTTTTAAAAGAAAAATGCTCCCATGCAGGATCACTTTTCCCTTAAAGAGATGGTGTAGGTGACACTTGAAGGACAGAGGCATCATTACTATTCAAACTAATGGCAGTTTTTAAGGTACTATTACTATTTGGAGTTGAGCCAGAGAGAGTGTCAACGATAGGAGTAGGTTCAGGATTATTAACTTGCATATTGGGCTTGATGGCAAGAGCGAGAGGTTCCAAATCCCTAAAAAACAACTAAGCTTAATCAAAATATAATCAAAATTACTAAATTAGCAACCAGTAATCATCATCAAGAAGGCTAGAATCACAAAGCCAATAATTATTTATTGAACTATAAAGCATTTGATCGAACTTCAAAAGTGAGAGCTCTAACCTATTAATGAAGATTGAAAGTATCCACATAATTAGCTTGTATGAACTCCCTCCACCATCTCTTTACGTGACGACAATCGTGAAATAGGTGTATAGTATCCTCTAACTTGTTGCATCAAAATAGACAAGGACTGGCTATCATCATCCCTCTTCATTATCAAAATGCTATCATGTGCACTCTGTCATGAGCAATCTGCCACATTAGTGTTTTAATTGTCTTATATTTTGAGGTAATGAAATACTTCCAAACTTATCTTATTAATTTGAGATAAAAAAAAGTATATTTTTCTTCAAAAATTCAAAACTACTTTCACATAAGTTGTCCCTTTCACAAATTTAAAATTTGATGTTTTCTAAATATTACGTAGCAAAATCTCTAATCAAACTGTTGTGATTATGCCACATGGGACAGTTTTTAAGAGTTGGTTTGTGAGAAAAAAATAATGGGACCCACATGATTAAATTAATTTTTTATTAATATATTTTTGGTCAAATGATTAATTAATATATTTTAAATGATGTATAGTTATAATAAAGAATAATTATTTATATTCATAAAAATAATATGAATTTTTTATTAAAAAAATGCCTATTTTAATGGAAATTGGCAATATGTATCCATACCCCATATTATTTGTCCAAATTCATAAGCGTGAAAGTAATGCATAACCAATAACCATGATATGCAAATGGCCATTAGAACAGGAAAAAGAAAATTCAGGACAATGAGGTTCCATGGATATAGTTAGACACAGCCGGTTTTGATTAATTTGAGGTTGTTTTAATTAGTCGTTGACCAATCCTTTAACCCTTCGATTTTTTCCATACTTAAACCGGACGTTAGATTAATTCTCAATTGGTCGAATTCAGGTCTA